AGTGCAGAACATTATTAGTGTACTTCCACTTGGTATATGGGAAACGTATGACTGCTTCAGTTCTTCCCTCTCTGTAAATTCCAGCAGATGATGGTGGAATTTCTAACCAACTCTTAGAACATTGAGCAATAGAGTTGGAAGGGACCTTGGAGGTCTTCTACTCCAATCCTCTGCCCAAGCAGCAGACCTTATAAATGGCTGTCCAATTTCTTCTTAAAAGCCCTCCAGTCTCAAAGCACTCACAAATTTCTGAACGCATGTTATTCAATTGGTTGGTTGCTCTCACTGCCAGGAAATTTCTCTTTCGTTCCAGGCTGCTTTTCTCCTTCGTTCCCATCCATTGTTTCTTGTCTTGCTTTTTGGTGCTTTGGAAAATAGGTTGACCCACTAGTCTTTGAAGATACCCTTCAAATATTAGAACACTGCTATTACATTTCCCCTTACCCATCTTCACTTATCCACAGCTACAGTGCCTCAAGACCAAGCAACCGAATTTGATTATGAACTGTAGACTACCAACAGTGCACAGGGATGTACCCGATGAATTGTTTCAGCATCTTCCCTGGTTTTAGAGCGGAGACAGCAATCTAGCAAGGCCTCTGGCCCAGCCATGTACCCATTAAGAGCCATCGCTCACAACACAGTTGGTTCCATATATTTTATTGGATTTATAACTGGACAATCACACGTGTACAAAATGGGAGACCACACTACCTGAAGCAGAGGACTGTGGATCGCAGCAGCATTTCCATTGACCCAAAAGCTTTTAGTAGAAGAAAGCATAAGCTGATTGGGCAAGAGAAAGATGGGAGGGGAAGGGAGGAGGAAAGGAAGAGGAGGAAAGATTGCTGGCCAATTCTTAACCAAAGGACAAATCCTTTGGATGTTACTTACTGATCAAATCAGTCTCTCCCCAGTTATGTGCCAGATTTTTTTTTGGGGGGGGGGGGGACTGTGTTTAAGAAAGAAGAGGTACTGGCTTTGTCAGCTATCCTCAGCGCTCCAAGGAAGTTGCCCTTTGAGGCTATGAAAATTATTTGCTATTCTCACCATCCATGATAATACCCCTCAGACATTTTTGGTCACAAACCTTCCTCGAGCTGTAGGAGAAAGCAATGAGGAATATTCCCACCTTTGCCGCACAACAACAATTACAACAGCAAGAGCCAAGTATAGGAGCCAGAATTAATTCAAGGGTTGTCCAGTCTATGATTTCTTGTCTAGTCTACTGATACATATGCACAAGGATTTCCAAAAAAATACTAGGATATAATGCAAGTAGTGACAACAGAAGGGGGGGTTATCACGTGGTGGATGTTCCCTAGAATGACCACAAGGGGGTGGTATTAGACTGGCCCTTTTACATCCTGGGACAGAAGCAAGACATGAGCCCAGACTCTCAAACCACCTGATGTCAGCTGCATCTCCAACAGTAACTGAAACAAAGCAGGTGCCGGTGTCCCCCCTTTTTTCTTCCTTCCTTCCTTCCTTCAAAGAGCAGCTGCAGGATTCCAGCTTCCAGCCGCTGAATGGAGGACGGGCCAGTGAAATGCTCTTGAACGTTGAGACCAAAGGGTGAGAGAGAGAGAGAGCCAGCTTGCTGCGCGGGGTTAACATCTTGTCTCGTAGATCCCGCTCCTGCCAATGTACCTCACCCATTTGATCACGTCGTGGTCACTGTAGTTCAGCTTTGGCTCGAAGACTTTCAGGTAGCGCACCTTCAGCCCGGAAGGCGCAAAGGGAACCTGTACAAAGGAGGGCAGAACACAAGGATGGGAAAGTGAGCCTCTCACAGCCAGGCTTTTGAAAAACTCGCCATTGCAAATCTTCCAAGGTCAAAGTGAGACTTACTGGACTGTCCATGATTCTAATGAGGCACAAAGAATTACCGTATTTTTCAGAGTATAAGACGCACTCTCCCCACTTTCAAAAGAGGGTGAAAATTTTGGTGTGTCTTATACACCAAATGTAGCCCTGTACCCACCCGCCGGCCGCCACCCATTGGCCATTTTCAGCCAAAAACGGGGTGTGCGGAGGCTGAAAACTCAATGCGCAGAGGCTGAAAACCAGAAGTGCAGAGGCGGCGATGGGTAGCGATGTGCTCTGGCAATCCTGGCGGCCTTGAATGGGTCTGAAACTGAGCGTTCGGAGGCTGAAAACGCGAGGCACAGAGGCGGCGATGGTCCAGGCTACAATAATATGCTGAAGCTGACCACGCCGTTTGCTGTTTGCTGCAAGGACGCTAGATGAATATCGATGGATGCTAGGCAGAGTCAGATTTTTTTTTTCTTATTTTCCTCCCCAAAAACTAAGGTTCGTCTTATACTCCGAAAAATACAGTACTATACCGGAGCACAGAACAAGGGAAGATATCTAGCCTTGTTGGCTAAAACAAGATTCCAATTACTTTCTCGGAAAGACACTTCATTTTGAAGGTATCCTTCACACAAAAGCAACAGGCAAACTCAGCTACTGGACCAAACCTCCTCATATTTATGGACAAAAACAATCTCGTAATCCTCCCTCATTTAAGCTACTTTCCCATCAATCCTTTCATTTGAGGGCCACAATGTAAGAAAATAACGATCCTGGAAATCAGTAATCATCATCTCTTTAGCCAGTAATCACTGGCTAAAGAGATGATGTTGCAAAGATTTGGATTTTTGGAGGATGGTCTTTAGGTTTGCTGAGGGCTCCGAGATGGGATACATTTTACAAAGGAAGGAAATGTTTGGCAGGGGCCTTGATAGAACCAAGAGGACAGAGGATTGGGCTGCTGAAGCCCCTCAGAATGTTTCTATATCGTACCTCTTGTTCCAGGGAACCTCTTGGGAAGAATGCGGCTGCTTACCTCAAAGTTCATAGAGATGGGTGGCCGAGCCCATTTCTTTTTGTCGTTGGTTGGAAGCAGTTCTATCTCTGCGCTGATCTGTGACTCTTTCATTCCAGCCATCCTTTTAATTCTATAAAATTGAAAATTGTTTGCTTAGAATATGCACAAGTAATGCAGGGGTTTCCAACCTTGGCAACTTTAAGCCTGGAGGACTTCAGCTCCCAGAATTCTGGGAGTTGAAGTCCTCCAGGCTTAAAGTTGCCAAGGTTGGAGACCCCTGTCCTAAAGCCCACTTCATCAGGCTCAGCCTAAAGCAGGGGTTTCCAAATTTGTAAAGTTGCCAAGGTTGGAGACCCCTGTCCTAAAGCCCACTTCATCAGGCTCAGCCTAAAGCAGGGGTTTCCAAATTNGTACTCACTCCCCCAATGGGGAGCTTACCTAACACTCCCAATTCTCCTTGGCAGGATTGGGCCCTGCAATGCTGGGATGGTTGCAGCTGGATTTTCACGCTGTGGCAGCTACAGTGCAGGACTTGAGGCAGCACTTCTTGGTGGAGGTGGCAACCCTGGGGCTGAAGTAGACACTCAGGGCAGATTGGAGGCCCTGGGCCTCTGCTTCAGTCCTAGCACTGCCACCGTTGCCAAGGAATATCACTGTGCAGAGCAGCCAAAAGGACAGAGATAGGTGGAAGGAGTTGAAGAGACAATTCCTTATCTTGGAAGAACCGAAGCAAAGGGATTGAAGGAACTAAGCAAAAAATAGTAATAGCACTTAAAGACATATAGTGCTTCATAGTGCTTTACAGCCCTCTCTGAGCGATTTACACTGTCAGCCTCTTGCCCCCAACAATCTGGGTCATTTTACTGGCCTCAGAAGGATGGAAGGGTGAGTCAACCTTGAGCCGGTCAGGATTGAACTCCTGGAGTAGTAAGTTAGCCTGCAGTATTGCATTTTAGCCATTGCGTCATCATGGAAAATAACTTGAAATTGTGTTTGCCTAACCACCAGGTAGCATTTGTCCGAAAGGGGCTTTTTCCAAGAGGCAACTGGACTTTTTGGTTTTTCTTTGAAGTCGTTCAGGAGCCAAAGAAGCTTCTTGGATGAGAAGTGAAAATGTCTTCAAAGAAAAACCAGAAAGTCTAGTTGCCTCCTGAAAAAGCACCTTTGGGATAACCAGGACCTGGATGACTGAGAATCTCCAGACATTCAACATTTATTTAACTACTGCAACAAACTGTTATCCTTAAGCAGGGAGATAAGTGATGTATCACAACTGCCTTCCCTAAATGACAAAATTGCCGGTCCCAAATGTGTTCAAAGAAAAGACTACCTGTACTAGCTCATAGAGGGACACGGTGGCTCATTGGCTAAGACGCTGAGCTTGTTGATCAGAAAGATCGGCAGTTCGGTGGTTCGAATTCCTAGCGCCGCATAACGGAGGGAGCTCCTGTTACTTGTCCCAGCTTCTGCCAACCTAGCAGTCCAAAAGCACGTAAAAACGCAAGTAGGAAAATAGGAACCACCTTTGGTTGGAACGTAACAGCGTTCCTTGCACCTTCGGTGTTTAGCCATGCCGGCCACATGACTACAGAGACATCTTCGTACAGCGCTGCCTCTTCGGCTTTGAAACAGAGATGAGCACCGCCCTCTAGAGTCAGGAATGACTAGCACATCTGTGCAAGGGGAACCTTTACCTTACTCGCTCACTAGAGCAAACCACACTAAAACAGGTCTCTGGCTCATAGCACAGTGGAGGACACTATTCTGCTCACTTGACTTTCCATCTCTGAGCAACTAACTGGGAGGGTTTTGTGCTGGAGGCGACTCCATCTAACTTACTGAATGTCATTCTGGGCACCCTGAACCACCACTGAATATGGCTCACACTAGAGAAACCACTTCACTCACCTGGTTTTCCCAGAATGTTTATTTTTCTCTCCCACAATTCACTTACCAATGGCTAAGTCATCTTTTCAGCAGTTGAAAGGAGTAACTCCAAAGGAGTCATTAACAAAATTTGACAAAAATCAGCACCAGATCAGCATTTTTAAAGAGAAAATGTGAATGCTCCAGGAACACTGGATTATTCCAGGATCGTAATGGGTAGCTTTGCATGTTCTTGTCTTGTACAAATGACTGGAGTCCATAAACCAATGGCCCACTCTAGAATTTCCCAGCAACCAACAAGTCTCAGAGGTTTTGTTACTAGTGCAGAACATTATTAGTGTACTTCCACTTGGTATATGGGAAACGTATGACTGCTTCAGTTCTTCCCTCTCTGTAAATTCCAGCAGATGATGGTGGAATTTCTAACCAACTCTTAGAACATTGAGCAATAGAGTTGGAAGGGACCTTGGAGGTCTTCTACTCCAATCCTCTGCCCAAGCAGCAGACCTTATAAATGGCTGTCCAATTTCTTCTTAAAAGCCCTCCAGTCTCAAAGCACTCACAAATTTCTGAACGCATGTTATTCAATTGGTTGGTTGCTCTCACTGCCAGGAAATTTCTCTTTCGTTCCAGGCTGCTTTTCTCCTTCGTTCCCATCCATTGTTTCTTGTCTTGCTTTTTGGTGCTTTGGAAAATAGGTTGACCCACTAGTCTTTGAAGATACCCTTCAAATATTAGAACACTGCTATTACATTTCCCCTTACCCATCTTCACTTATCCACAGCTACAGTGCCTCAAGACCAAGCAACCGAATTTGATTATGAACTGTAGACTACCAACAGTGCACAGGGATGTACCCGATGAATTGTTTCAGCATCTTCCCTGGTTTTAGAGCGGAGACAGCAATCTAGCAAGGCCTCTGGCCCAGCCATGTACCCATTAAGAGCCATCGCTCACAACACAGTTGGTTCCATATATTTTATTGGATTTATAACTGGACAATCACACGTGTACAAAATGGGAGACCACACTACCTGAAGCAGAGGACTGTGGATCGCAGCAGCATTTCCATTGACCCAAAAGCTTTTAGTAGAAGAAAGCATAAGCTGATTGGGCAAGAGAAAGATGGGAGGGGAAGGGAGGAGGAAAGGAAGAGGAGGAAAGATTGCTGGCCAATTCTTAACCAAAGGACAAATCCTTTGGATGTTACTTACTGATCAAATCAGTCTCTCCCCAGTTATGTGCCAGATTTTTTTTTGGGGGGGGGGGGGGG